GGAAGAATGGTGCTTTGTGTATCGGTGGAACACCACACACAAGGACGGTTTAATTTGAACGCTATGAATTATTAACGAAGATAATGAGTCGTATATTGAGTATGTTGTTGATAATGATAATTATTATTTTATGAAGCACACATATATTTATGATCGAGTGATCGAGGTATGAGAATATTATTCGTCAATCAAAATTGATAAGAATAGATCGATCGAGTAATTGCAACCCATGATGTCACCGATAACAAAACAAACAACGTTTTGGAGCAATATCACACACACAAACACACACATAAACAAGAGACAAACCAAAAAAAACTGGAAGTTCAAGGCTGAGATTCTCGCACCCACTCACAGAAAAATTCATAGCCCAAGCTGCATAGTCAGAGGGCCGTCTGTCTCTTAAACAGTAAGGGCTATTTGCTGAGATATAGTGATCTTATCTTGATGCTTTGTTGTCGATGTTCTCAACAGCAATCAAGAACGTGATATTCATAAGAGCTCATCAATATTAACCAAACGAATCTAGGAACAAATCACGCGTGCCCGACCGGAGTGCTATATAGCTTCTCTTTATGTTATATCTTTATATTATGCTTCTCCAATACTGCTACCGCCCTCTTCTAAGAAAACCCACACGTTACAACCAGAGGACAGATTCAGACTAGTGAGGGACACCAGACCTACAGGTGTGTTTTTTTGAAACTTGAGACTTGAAAAACTGTTTTGCCTGACCGCAGGCCGTGAAAATCATTTCCAATCGGCCCGGAAGCCTGGACAGCAGGAAGGGACAAAACAGGACACAGACGTTGCGTGTCCCTTACCTCAGCCAAGTAGCATGATCTATGAAACGATCTACTCGTTCTATTGTCATCTTTCGCGAACCGGAAGTGTTTCAGAACTCTTTTCCTATGACATATCCACCGGCTCTAAGCAAAGATTCGTTCGTAACCGATATTGAAACCGGTAACTTTTTGTCGATCCAAATTAGAAATAGCTATTACCAAGCAAGCATAACGCACAACCCAACTAATTCTTAACTTTGCACTCAAAATTCACACCGGAATAACATTTGGCTACCCTTTGAAACCCTGGCTGGAGCAAATGATATTTTTTGTTGACGCTGATATTGTTATTGTTGTAGGATATTCACACACCCCTGGTTCGTTTTCTGTCAGTCGGAACGTCCGCGAAAGTTCTACCCATCGCCCGCGTGATCATTGATGCTATTTCACAGTCTACGTCTGCAAAGTAGACAGTGTCGTAAGCGGGCGATGAGAAGAACCAGATCGATGCGATGCCTACCTGCAAAGGGAAAACTAATCGATGGACGAAGTAAGACGAAAATTTAGGACAGAGATCCTGCTTGCGTCTTTTGAGGAAAACGAAGAAATGGTGACGATGACAAATAGCAGTGTAATCCATCTATAAAATCTCATTTTCGAAGAGCAATCACAGCCAATTTTTAGCTATAGCACAACCCGATTGTAGGTCATAGGTTAACATGACGATTGTAAAGCGTGCATTTGCAAGTTGAAAAAATTGCCCGGTAACCCATCATTTTATATGTTAACATTTAAGTAAAATAAAAACAATTGACGCAATCAGTAACATAAATCTGATAATACACTAGATTTACAAAGAAACATTAACAAGTACCGCGTACTTACACGGATGCGCACACACACACACACACACACACACACACACACACACACACACAACCATGAATGGACATTACACAACGGCTCATATAAGTGAAAATTGTGTAAACTATGAGGCACAATCAACAAAAAAAAAATCTGTTATCTTCGTGTGATCACCTTTATTATTGCTATTATTATTATTATTATTATTATTATTATTATTACTCGGACGAATTGAAACAGTCAAGTGTTATTTGTTATTATCTTTTTAAAGAATGTGCTGCCTTTTGTCCAGAATCAACAGATATCTCTGTTTTTCAAAAAAACACATAATGTTATTATAGCTCACACAAAAAATTGCTAAATAGATTATATATGACACGTATGTGAATACAGGCGACGAATAGCAGGCGAGATAAGATAAGGGTAATATAACTACCTTTCTTAGTAATATAATAAAATTGAGCTGCAGTGAATACGGGTCAAGTGCGTACTGGGTCGCATATGGGCCGACCTGGAAGATTATTAAGTGTGAGGCGGAGCCGCAGCATGAACCGAGTCAACGATGATACAGCTTGAAACAAACTTCGACCCTAGAATATATCCCTATAGTAACAGGAGCGTATTGCCGACTGAATCAAGAACCTAATACATCTGGCAACTGATCAATGCGACATATTGGTCCACTTCTCTAGGATGTGGTTTTTCCTCGCGTGGGACCTCACCGGCGGAATAAGGGGACTGGTCGTGTGGAAATGTTACGATCATACTGAGAAAAATTATCGTAGCGGTAAAGGGGACAGTATAAGTATGGCAAGTTATTTTACGTCGGTGTGAAAAATGTGTATGTACGGGCGTATCTGGGCGCGAGAACATAGCAGTTGAAACAGCAACGTGAAGTTTGAAAATCGACGGAAGACAAAAGGTAACACGGGCAAATGCGGATGTCAAAATAGAAGATAGAACTTACGTAAACGAAACGCGAAAGAAACATCATGAAAGATGTGATCCACAATTGTCGTTGTAGATTATTTTGTTGTATATAAATATTATCTCTGTTGAACCATTTATGAACATCAAATGTGTTTTTCTCATAGTTTATAAATTTGACTCTATTACATCTTATAGGTTTAGACCATTCGAAGTATAGCCGACTGGAGCTTCTTAAGGGCTGATAGGTAGCTCAATAATTGAGATCGAATGTATAGGTTTCAAACGCTTTATCCCACGTTTACGTACGAAATTAATTGCGCAGCTAGTAATATGTAATGTATAGCAATTTTAAGCAGAATGAACGTTTAATAGAGGTCGCAGTTAGCAGTTGATGGTTGTATGTAAGTTATGCCCAAGCACAGATCAACTGACTACAAGAAATCTACGAATCGATTGCCGTACCGATGCTTCTTAAATGGTATGTATATTTTTCTGATTAAGACATCTACACATACAATCACATCCAGTATCCTCAGTGATTTAGAGAAAACTAGGTAACGTCGTACGAAATAATACAGTAATATTATTTATGTCGACGGACATATATATATATATATAGACACTAGATAATCAAAGCGATGTTTTCACATGAAGCGTATCATGCTTCATTTGTACTACCCTACAATACCCAGAACTAAGCTTTGCGTAATTAATAGTTATGATTTCTTAACTTAACTACGAAACATCGTTTAGACTGAAGTTCAATAGCCTCTGGATGCTCTATTTAGCAAATAAAGCGACTCTGTATCTCAAAAATATTGGCAAGTGTAAAAATACTGGCAAAATAATGTACGATTGTGGTCTGCTAAAATCGCAGATCTGTGATTAAATGAAGCACCGCTTTCGATTCATATATGAACATCTTGATATGACTAGCCATCTTGACAAATAGCCTTGCGTTTTATTAGTCATAAACTTACAAACAGAGAGAGAGAAACACTTACGCCTCTCAAAAGCAGTAAATAAAGAATGGTGAGCAAACAATCATGCAGTGGGACAGACGTCCGCCTTTCATTTGGCGGAGCTGCATATGCAACCTGAATTGAATTCTTAGCGTTTATTATTTTTTTTTTTTAGTTACAGTTGACAATTTGGAAAAAATGGCTGGCAAAACATAACTGCAAGTACAAATCTTGACGTTTTAGGTGCGATACCTTCCAGCTGCGTCTGCTTCAGATGTGGGGACGTCCACAGCGGGGACAAATGTTCATTTGAAGCCTTCGTTTGCCAGAATAACTTTTAGTTATTCGATGTTGGTGTGGCTCAAGCTAGGCGAGGGTGTATCGCAGTCAGATCCGTTGATAAATGTATACATACGGGATTCGACATTTGAATCCAGACAAACTTTAGCGGACTACTTAGTTAACAAACCAAACGTTTACCCGCCACACACCATATAAACGACAAACGCTTGTTTATTTTGAAACAAGATAACAAACTGGTCACGATAGAAGGCAGTGCGGTGTTTTCGCCATTCGACCAAAGATCATCTATTAAACTCAAGCACTTTTACTATTGACAAATGCGTTTTCCGAAGTTGACTGTTTACGTTTGTTGCTAGTTTTAATGCAGAAACTTCTAGCAGGCAAATGGCAAGATTCCTGGAATAGGTTTTAAATTTAAGAAGCTCAAAATTGCTTAAAAAAGCATTTTTGATACACCAGAAATTAACGATAGCTTTGACGAGAAAAATATTGGTGGTCGACTGGGTGGTTTAGATAAACTCCAATAGTTAGTCTTTTTTTTCATCTATTGGATTTTTATAACCCTTTTGAACTTTTGGGACTTTCGATTTCTATAATTTCAAAATTTGATTCTGCTGGAATTTTCCAAGCGCACCTAATCTAGGCCTATCAATATGGCTCGACGTTAGGTTCAGTTCTATGGCTTCAAATGTTCGAGCAGCAATTTAAAGGATCGTTGTCGTAACCCTTACGCGCTCGGGAATATTCATTGTTAAAGTTAAATTACTAACTAATAAACGTCTTTGTTTCGGAATCACTCGTCTAGTTGTGGTTTAGAATTGATAGAATCGGTAGTCATGAAGCAACATATTGACCGATGGACGTATGACAATTTTATCTGTTTTAAACATAGTTGTCATACAAGTATTTAACCGTTGAATAACAAGTAATCGAACTGGGAGCTTTATGTTGCTAACAAAAAAAAAAAAGCATTTTAGATCCTGGTCATGGATAGGTCTGCAAGCGAGAGCATGTTGAACTCATCTGGTGCATTACTCATAAGCTTACAGTTGAATT